TTTCCTTCCTTCTTTCCATCCTTCCTTCCATCCATCTATTGTTTTTGTTCTTTTCATCCATCTACCCATCTATCCATCTAATTATCTATCCATCGATGCATCCATCCATCAATCTATCCATCCATCTATCCATACTGTCAGTTGTTAGTTTGTATTTACTTTCTTCCCTCCGTCCATCCATCCATTTATTTTCTCAGTTGTTCTTTCCTTCCATTCATTCCTTCTATACTGTCAGTTGTTTGTTTGTGTTCTTTCCTTCTATCCATCTAGCCATCCATCCCTCAATCTATCCAGTAAAGAGTTCCCAGATGATTTGTGTTTGCTCCTGAATCCTGTGTGTGTGTGTGTGTGTGTGTGTGTGTGTGTGTGTGTGTGTGTGTGTGTGTGTGTGTGTGTGTGTGTGTGTGTGTACTTTTTTATCCTCATCTCACTACCTCTCAACCTACAGCCTGTCATTTAGAAATGGAAAGGGAGAGAGAGAGAGAGAGAGAGAGAGAGAGAGAGAGAGAGAGGGTGCAGAGGAATGCTTAGGATGATTTCACTTTCCTCCTTGGCTCTTCAAATGTGTTAATATCAGCTGCACCAGTTCAGTTGCCATGGACACCAGAATCTAACTGTTTCAACCACCTGCTTGTTCATGTGTGTGTGTGTGTGTGTGTGTGTGCGAGCGTGCTACACTCATCAGGGGAAAATCCCACATCCCCATTTTATATCTCAACTGTTTCTCTTAAAAAAGCAATGAGAGTTTTCTATGCACCAGTCAGCTTTTAGATTTTTTGGGGGCCACAGCGGAATGAACCACCAACTATTCACATTCATTAACACTCATACACTACGGCCAACTCACCTATAGCGCATGTGTTTGGACTTGAGGGGGAAACCTGGAGCACCCGGAAGAAACCCACACCAACATGCGGAGAACATGCAAACTCCACACAGAAATGCCAACTGACCCAGTTGGGACTCAAACCTGTGACCTTCTTCCTGTGAGGAGACAGTGCTAACAACTTAGACACCCAAAAATAAATCTCATACTGTGCTTATATTTTCAAAGATGCCAAAACCTGAAATAAATTCATCAAAAGATGAAGTCCGGAAGCAAGTGATCTAAATTTATCTCTCAGCGATTGCTTTTTTTATGCCTATTTTTATTTCCTTTTAGAAGAAACATCTCAAAACTTGCACAAAGCAAAGTTGCCTTATTCATTCATTTTTTTTAGCTTAGTCTTTTATTAATCTGGGGTCGCCACAGCGTAGGGATTCAACGATTACAGATTTTGGTTGTGCGATTATAGTCTAAGGAAAAATAACGGTTATCATCATTATTATGCATTCATTAATTTCAAAACACTGCTAGTTTAGAAAAATGACATGAAAACTCCTTATATTTTAAAGTGTTGTTTATTACTGCTCAGTAACCAAATAATAAAACACAAAACAATAATAAAAAATAAACAATAGTCATATTCGTTTTAGACTTAAAAATAAGTGAAAAAAGTTATGCCATTTAAGCATAAGTAATAATTTTACACAGAAAATAAATGTCAAAAAATTAAAATTTAAATAAATTAATTTAAAGAAATTAATTCATTTTAAAACATTATTTTAAATGAATAAAATAATAAATTACAATAAAAATACAATGTAAATAAATTTATGTAATTTTTTTATAAATTTAAATAAATAAATTAAATGTAAATAAATTAAAAAATAAATGAAAATAAATAAATACAATTTAAATTAATTAATTAATTTAAAATAAATGAAAGTATATAAATAAATAAAATTTTAATAAATGAATTTAAAATAAATTAATACATTTAAAACATGAAAAAAGAGTTAAAATAAATAAAATTTAAAATCAATAAATAAATGAAAAAATAAATAAGTAGTATTTATTTAATGTCAATCTAAGTAACATAATAGGTAAGTATTTCCCTTTTACAGTGAAGAAATATATTCAAAGGCTGCTAAACCTCAGTCTGAAAGGCACTTTTGATCAACTATAAAACAAACTTGTTTGGTATTTTTTATTTTGTGTTTTTTTTCTCAGTGTAGGGCGCTCACGGCATTCTTTCAACTAGTAGGTGCGTCTGGAAAGCACAAGTCAGTCGCTTCATATATGCAAGCCACGCACCTCCATTGGAAATAATGAATTTGCACAGAAGATGTGACTGGCCCTTAGTTAATAGCCTCAGCCATAGTTAATCCAGTGTGCAAAGTGTACAGTACAAGCTCAAACTACGACTTAGTTGGCATCATTTTAAGTTGCAGCAGTTTTGTTCCATGCAGAAACACGGTGTTGAGAAGCCTTACTTAACCCTGACAAATTAAATTGTGAAATCAGTTAAGTGTTGCATCCCTTGTTGTATCCAGCATATGTTATATGCAGCGGGTGCCCTTTCCAGCTGCAACCCATCACTGGGAGTATTTGTGTTATACTGCAATAAAAAAGACAGACCCCTTCCTGATAAAATCCCCAACAACATATCAAACACCGACCCCTAGAGGACACTATTAGCACTGCATGTACTCTTCTAAATTCAATACACCAGATTAGACACAAATAAACCCAAACATGACCACAGATCACTGGAAATTTGGAAAGTAAAATCAATCTCAGGCACTTCTGAAGCGACATCAGTAATCATCAGTCATATTTAGCCACTATGACTGAATAATTCTGGACATCCAGTATCGAAGCTGAAAGCGTAACTTTGAAAACATATTTGCATCCTGAGTGACGTTAAGCAGAACAAGAAGAAAAGCAGGGGTTTTTCTTGTGTGCAGACATATGAGCTGTCAGAAATAATAGGGTGAAGCTGCAAAGGAAATGTAAGAGTCTACCTGTATGGATATATATTGCTCTCTTTGTGTGTGTGTGTGTGTGTGTGTGTGTGTGTGTGTGTGTGTGTGTGTGTGTGTGTGTGTGTGTGTGTGTGCTCATGTTACTGCAGTGAATATGACAGCACAGAGAATATGATGACTTCAGGCAACAGAGACAAACCGCATAGAAATATGAAAGCAACTGCAAACACAAGCTGATGTCGAAGCAATGCAGTAGACGCTGTAGAAATGATTATGCAACGCCATCTTTGTTGTCATCTATTTAACTTCTCACAACACTTTCTGTCAATTCTACCGATTGAGTTTTCTAAATGACTTTGCAGCTTGAGTTTCTTTATCTGTAAGTGAATTTGCAGTTGTTAGAAAGTGCAGTAAACTAGCAGGCTGACGCATTTACAGTATAAGCATACAGTTAAAGTCAGAATTATTAGAGTTTCTGTTTAATGGAGATAAGATTTTTTTAACACATTTCTAAACATAATATTTTTAATAACTCATCTCTAATAACTGATTCATTTTATCTTTGCCATGATGACAGTAAATAATATTTGACTAGATATTTTTCAAGACACTTCTATACAGCTTAAAGTGATATTTAAAGGCTTAACTAGGTTAATTAGGTTAAGGTTGCAATTTAAAATTTAAATAAATCAAAATAACTCAATTCAAATAAGTTGAAATAAATCAATTTAAAATTAAAATAAGTTGCAATAACTCAATTTAAATACATTACGATAATTTACTTATTTACTGATTTAATTTACGCTGTAAAAATGCTGGAATCCACACAAATGATTTTTGTTGAGACGAAATAAACGAATTAAGTAAACTAAGTAGTTTTTATAAATTTAAGTTGATTGAACATAAAACAACTAAGATTGTCCCAAAAAACCTTAAGAAATGTGTTGTTTAAACTCATTTTAAAAAGTACTTTGAACATACAGCAAACATCTTTTTTGAGTGTACTTATACAATAATACTTATTCAAATATGTTGACATAACCCAATTCAAATAAGTAAAAAAATCTCAATTCAAAATTCAAATAAGTTGCAATGATTTAATTCAAATAGGTTGAAATAACTCAATTCAGATAAGTTGCAATGACTCGATTTAAATAAGCTGAAATAACTCAATTCAAAAATCAAATAAGTTGCAGTAACCCAATTCAAATGAGTTGAGGTAACTCATTTCAAAATTCTAATGAGTTGCAATAACTCAATTCAAATCAATTTCAATAACTTACTTATTTACTTATTTAATTAACTTATACAATAATATTTGAATATGTTGAAATAACTCAATTCAAAATTTTAATTAATTGCAATAACTATTAAACAAACTTGCAATGACTCAATTTAAAAAAAGTTTAAATAATTAAATTCAATTGTGTGGAAAATTGTTCCGAAATTTAATTAAAATTGTTTAACATTTTTTGGGTATATAGGTTAAACAGTATCCTTGTGTACAGTGATATTGGGCCTGGACTACAGCTCATGCATATTTGTGGCAATAGTATGGGTCAAATATGGGTCAAAATTACTTATTTTTCTTATTACTTATTTTATACTTATTTTTTATTTATTTATTTTTTATATTAAGTAAAGATTATTGCAATGGTTAGATTGTTTTTTATTCCCCAGATTCCAGATTTTCAAATATATCTTCATATCTTGAGCTAAAAACCGTTCTATCTTAACAAACCCTTTAATCAACTTTCAGATAATTAACCAGTTAACAAATAACGTGTAAAAAAAAAACAACGTACACAAAAATACAGAAAATAAATACATAAAAATAAAGAAAAATAATATATGTTAAACAAAATGTCAAAACATTACAGTATATATTGTTTTTCTTTAGTTTCGTGTATATACTGTGGAGTTTTGTTTTTTCGTGTTGATTGTTGACAGGTTAATTAGGATTACTGTTGGTTTCAGATGTAATTAAAAAATGATATCCAAGGTTTTCCTGTATTGCCTTTTTGACCATATCATTCGAACAACTGTTTTAGATGAAACCAGCAACAAAACAATAGAAAAAAAATTATCGGCAGTGAGTTTCCTCCACAGTTATGATGATGGCATTGGCTTGTGGCTGATGAAGTGACATGAAGATGAAGGTTAACTGATCAGTAAAACATCTTTGGTCTTACCAGTGTGGAGACGGCAGACGTGTAGAGCGGGGTTTGACCAGAGGACAGCAGCACTGGCTGGGAAAACAACAGCAGAGGAAGCAGGATAACTTAAAAACTACAGCACAGGAATAACTAAAGCAGAAAAACAGAGCCTTTGATTAATAGTTAGGAGAAAGATGCGGATTATTCTTTGGCCATCTAAATCTAATAAGCATTTTAACCCTAACCATACAAATATTGCTCAGTAGGTAATTGAGTAGTAAAAAAGGCGCTTTAAAATAATAACGTGACCCAAGTTAGCTAAATAAAATCTAATGCATTAAATCAAAGGCTCTGTTCTTGGCTCTGAAAAGGAAATTGGAAAACTTAATTGGTAAGAATGTAAAAAAAAAAATGGTAACCTAAAGGATCTCAGATGTTTTACTGAGATCAAAACTCAAAGGTTTAAATCAGGTGTAAAAAATCTCTCTCTCAAAAAAAAAATCAAGGTTACCACTTTTTTGTGTGAGCAGGATTAGAGGGAGACATTGCATTTGTATTTCTTACAATGAGTGCAAATTAAGAAAAGAAACCGTATATAAAAAATAAAGACCCAGGAGGAGGGGAGGAGATGTTCAGCTTGTTTTTAAATTACACTAAATAAAACCTAAAAATGGCAAGATCTATATTAAAGTTTTATTCAAGTGAGAAATAGAGCTTCACAATTAATCGTAAAAAGATCCCGATCTCGATTTGACGATCTTATCCAGCATTTCTACGATTCTGTCATATTTTCAAGTTCAGGTGGGAAGCAATGGTGGCCGCACAAGTCTTCACATTGTGTTGAAATCTAAATGGTTGAAAGAGTCACAAGCTGTATTTATAAGATATAATTCAACCCAAAAATGTCATTTCTGTCTTCATGTAATGATGTATTTGAGGCCGCGAAATCACACGTGATGTGAGCTGACCGTCAGCTGTTACCACAGGGAGAGCAGGCGCGAGCGCTGAATGAAGTTTACTTTAGTGAACAGAACCGGCATAAGCTGCGAATAACCAACACAATCTCACGGCAATTCGTAACTTTTTGATTTAGTGGCTAATTCGTATAAATTCGTACGGTCTAATTCAGTGGCTCTCAAACTTTTTTTTTATCAAGTACCACCTCAGAAAAAAATTGTCTCTCCAAGTACCACCAAAATGAGCAGTATTGAAATACAGTAGCGTAGTAGGGCCCAGTAAAGCAGCTACAGCTCTGCACAGTTAAAAAACGTGGCAGATTACCTCAGAAATATAGGCTATATGTCATATATGGCACATTACATTCATCATTTTTGATCAATTTTGAAATATGTGTAGCATGTATATTACATATTTCATTCCCACACGTACCACTAGAAGGAAGCCTGCGTACCACTAGTGGTACACGTACCACAGTTTGAGAACCACTGGTCTAATTCATACAATTTAGTACGACTTGCTCATCCCCCAATGACGGTTGGGGTTAGGGGTGGGGTTAGGTGCCACGCCTACTTTTTAAAATCTTACAATTTCATACGACTGAACTCGTACGAATTCGTACAAATAAGCCACTAAACTGGCAAAACGTAAAATATTTACGTTTTCTCGTGAAATCAGGCTGGAATGATAGGTAATAGAGTTGTAAATAACATTAAGTTTGTGGCACAGAGTGATCGTTTGGGAGCCGCTCGGGAAGTGAACCGCTCTTAGCAGTGAAAATGAAACAGAAAGCGTACACAGTGTTGCCAGATGTGCAAAAATAACGAAATGCAAAAATAACCACCCAGTCTTCTGTATTCATGAAAATCACGTCAGTGACAGATTTTAAGCAGAACATGACAGATTGTAAGCATATGTCTCAAACACAATAATTCAACATCAGAATTATCATCAGCATTAATGACCAGGACAAATCTAAAGACTGTTCAAGTCCACCGTTCCAAGTCTATACAACATTTAGCATTTTAACCAACAGTACAGCTACACAAAGCCTATAGCTGTTTTACCACATGTTTGAGAGTAACAATAGTAATAGCCCACTCATATTAAACTTTATTTTACATCTACAGTATCGTGAGAATATCGTGATCTTTATTTTAGTCAAAAAAATTGTGATTCTCATTTTAGCCAGAATCGTGCAGCTCTAACCCAAACCTGTTAACCAGTGTTCAACTGAACTGACACAAGATGATGGAGATGAAGTAATGATGATAAAGAAAGAGCAGAGTTTATTGAATAATAATTAATACTAATTAGTTTAATTTAATTTTAAAAAATAATTTATTTATTTAGTTTTGTTATTTATATCTTTGTGTATAAATGTGGTATTTTACCTTTTATTTATATACTTATTTAGTGTATAGGTATGTTTTCCAGAGAATGTCTTGTTTGGTGATTTGTATCAGTGCGTATATACAGTTGAAGTGAGAATTATTAGCCCCCATTTGATTTATATGTATATTTTTTAAATATTTCCCAAATGATGTTTAACAGAGCAAGGAAATTTTCACAGTATGTCTGATAATATTTTTTCTTCTGGAGAAAGTCTTATTTGTTTTATTTCGGCTAGAATAAAAGCAGTTTAGAATTTTTTAAACACCATTTTATGGTCAAAATTAATAGCCCCTTTAGGCTAATTTTATTTCGATAGTCTACAGAACATCGTTATTCAATAACTTGTCTAATTACCCTAACCTGCCTAGTTAACCTAATTAACCTAGTAAAGCCTTTAAATGTCACTTTAAACTGTATAGAAGTGTCTTGAAAAATATCAAGTCAAATATTATTTACTGTCATCATGGCAAAGATCAAATAAATCAGTTATTAGAGATGAGTTATTAAAACTATTATGATTAGAAATGTGCTGAAACAATCTGCTCTCCTTTAAACAGGGGAAAAAAATAAACAGGGGGGCTAATAATTCAGGGGGGCTAATAATTTTGACTTCAACTGTATGTATCAATATTATGTATATTTTAATGTCTGACCTAAGATGAACCTAATAAAATATATTTTAAAAAATGCATACAAAAGCACAAAAGATCAAGTGCTAGCAACAGATTGATGATTTCTGTGATTTTTTATATCATGGTATGGTATACACTTTATAGATTTCCCTAAATCAACTAAACGTATTTCTGTGACTGTAGAGCCCCCTACAGTTGACTAAGAGGAATGCACTGGTGATGTACAGTACACATTCATTTGTTATGAAGATAACCAAAACATTCACATAAACGTCCTTTAAGGGGGAAAAAAGAAACAGAAGTCTTATTATGAATTAATAAGTGCACACATCGGAATGCATTTGCTTTAACCCCATAAAGAGATAATCACCCCCCCCCCTCCCCTCCTCCAAATAATTAAGTGTACTCATCATTTACTTACAGCCAAGTGATTCTAAACTTATTAAATTCTTATTAATTTCGTAAAACAAGATATTGTGAAGTATAGGCATGGGCTAGTATAAGATTCTGACTATATGATAACCTTGAATCTGAATATCACAGTATTGAGATTACTGCTCAAAAAATATAATCTTTTTAAGTGAAGGTTATTTATAAACAAATTTCGAGAGGATCACGTGCTTATGATTGTTCTCAGCTGTTCCAGTATCAGCTCATGATCGATTATCCAATCAGATGATTCCTAACCCACTTTAAATAACCAGTTTTCTTATCTCAATATCTTTGTCTTGAAGAACACAGCCCCCCACCACCACCATTAACCTTAGTTTCCCTCCTTTTCAAAAGGACGACACGCCAGGCCAGTGATTAGCACTGTTGCCTCACAGCAAGAATGCCTCTGGTTTAAGTCACTACTAAACCAGACGGCATTTTTGTGCGGAGTTTCGCTTGTTCTTCCCGTGCTCGTGTGGGTTTTCGTTTGTGTTGTTCCTAAACCTTGGTGACAAGATTTTTGTCAGGTAGTGTATTTGTATATTATTTATTTTTTATATTTATATAAATGCCAAATGTGAAATTGTCAGATGTGGGTGTATGCTGCAACTAAAATCTCTCTACAGAGATAAATAATGTTTAACTAACTAACTAACTAACTAACTAACTAACTAACTAACTAACTAACTAACTAACTAACGTATTTCCAGTGAGCCTGGGTTGCATTTAGCAGTGTATAATCTGGAGCTGTCCTTGGTGCTGAAAAGTTCCCTGCGGTTCCAGCAGATGGCGCTGTTGTGCAGTAATGAGTGGTTAAATGGCTTCAGGTGTTGCTTCTCAGCATGATAAATCCTTTACATGTACGAAATGTTGCGCTTTCCCAAAATAAACGCCGAAGATAAGAGCTCTCAACAGGCCGATGAAATCTCATATTACACGTTCCCTGAAGCCGCTGGATGATCACTGAAGCCCCGGAGGTTCACTCCTGACCCAAATCCATCTGAGAGCTCACTGATAGAAAGACTCCCACAGGAACGAGCGTTTCTCCAATTCCCTGCTCACTTACTCACTGATAAACACTGTCAAACACTCCAGAGTTCAACAACACAAAACAAACCAATTTTTAAGCATTTTAGATATTTCTATAATCAGTCTTATTTAAATTGCTTGATTGTAGCATTGCTTTGTCAAATATTTGTGTATGTTGACCACTAAACTAACTGACCATTGCTTGCAAACACCTACAAACATATTACTTTCGCACACAAAACAAACAATCTGTTTGTTTATTTCATAATTTCCTTAGTATCCATGGTGTGTGTTCAAACAACGTGCAGTCAATTTGGTCAATTACTGTAAATAATGCCTAAGTTATATGGTGACTGTGCATAATTCCTGCTTTTGATTGGTAGACACACACTTTCAGAAAAAAAATACACGAGCTGCCACTGAAGAGATACCCCTAAAATAACTTTAAGGTACCAACATGGATCCTTTAGGTACTAATATATAACTTTAAAGTAAGATACACTCTCATGTGAACTGTTACTGGGGTGGTACCTTTTCAAAAGGTACACGTGTGTACTTCAAAAGTACATATTGGCACCTTAAAAGTATATATTAGCACCTAAAATTTTTAAGAGGAACACTTTGTACTTTTCAGGTGCTAATATGTAC